CCTCACCCTGCATAATGTCCTCCACATCCCATCCTTCACTTTCAATCTACTTTCCGTCAGCACTCTCACCAAAACCATACATGTCTCCCTAACCTTTCGGTCCTTCTTCTGTGATATCCAGGCCCTTCCCTCACAGAGGAGGATTGGTTCTGCAAGAGAAGTTAGGGGGCTCTACCACCTTGAAGCCATCACCCCGAAATCTGATCCAGCATCTCCACCACCCATCACTGCTGTTGTTACACACTCCTCCACCCCAGAAGCTGCTCTGTGGCACGCACGCTTAGGCCACCTCTCCAATTCCAGAACTAAACTTTTCCAACATTGTAACCCTCAAGTGCCATTAGGCACCATTAGTCATTGTGAAACCTGCCATTTTGCACGGCAGAAGAAACTACCTTTCAATTCCAGCACTACTACTTGTATGGAACCATTTCAAATCATTCATTGTGACATCTGGGGTCCCTTGAACACTCTCTCCTACGATGGCTATTCCTACTTCCTCACCATCGTAGACGATCACTCTCGAGCCGTTTGGACTTACTTAATGAAACATAAATCTGAAGTAAGACCAATCCTCAAACAATTCTGCACCATGGTGCAAACACACTTCCAGGAACCTTCTCCAAACCATACGTAGTGACCAAGGACAGGAATTCCACATGACAGAATTCTTCCGCGAACAAGGCATTACCCACCAAATGTCTTGTGTCGAAAGACAACAACAAAATGGACGCGTGGAGAGAAAACACCAGGATATCCTCAACATAGCCCGAGCCCTCAGATTCCAATCCCACATCCCCTTACGTTTTTGGAGTGACTGTGTTCTTTACGCAATACACATCCTAAACCGCCTCCCCACACCCATCCTTTCAAACCAAACACCCTACCAAAAGCTCTACAACAAACCCCCAGATTATTCTCACATCAAAGTTTTCGGTTCTCTATGTTATGCCTCTACCCTCGACAGTGGTAGAACAAAATTCCAACCGCGAGCAAGAAAGGGTGTCTTTCTCGGCATCGTACCTGGCATCAAAGGCTATAAAATTTTTGACTTAACCACCAAGAAAGTGTTTGTCTCCCGCGACGTCATCTTCCATGAAACCATCTTCCCCTTTGCACCACCCACCTCTGATCCCTCTCCTACTCCAAACCCAACTCCTCCTTCTGCTCCTCCTACCTCACCACCTGCATCTCCCACTCCACTTTTCCCTGCATATGATCAGTTGCATCCTAATCATGATCCATTCATTACTGTTGTTCCCACTGTTACTCCTCCTACAAACACAGACTTCCTACCTTTCGAGGCCATGGATGAACATGATGCAGTTGTCGAAGAGGCCACACCAGCAGAAGTCGAGGGGGGGACCGTTCCTCCTGATCAAATTCAGGAACCACCTCCATCACCATCCACACCTGTTCACAACATAAGGAAGTCAGACAGAGTTACCAAACCACCTATTTGGCACGGTGACTACTACGTGGGAAGTGTTCAGAGCAACTTCAACAACAAGTATCCCATATCAGCCTACATGGATTACTCACAACTCAGCCAACAACAAAATCACTTCTCTATGGCAGTCACTAACTTACAAGATCCCCAAACCTTTGAAGAAGCAATGAAAGAGGAACACTGGAGACAAGCAATGAAAGCTGAAAGGACTGCACTAGAAGCAAACGACACATGGGATGTAGTCGATGCTCCAAAAGGGAAGAAACTCATAGGCAGTAAGTGGGTTTACAAAACAAAATTGCAATCTGATGGCTCATTAGAGAGGCACAAAGCTAGAGTGGTCGCCAAGGGCTTCACTCAAATACTTGGGATCGACTTCCTCGACACCTTCTCCCCAGTCGTCAAGATCAACACAATCAAAACACTATTAGCAGTGGCATCGGTCAAAGGCTGGCACCTCAAACAGATGGACATTAGCAATGCATACTTAAATGGAGATCTACATGAGGAGGTGTACATGAAGCTCCCCCCAAGCATGGAAATACCGGGAAAAGCCTGCAGGTTAAAGAAATCGATGTACGGACTGAAACAAGCTGGAAGACAGTGGTACGCGAAGCTATTCGAAGCCCTGGTGAGCTTCGGATTTGTCCAATCTTACTCTGATTACTCTCTCTTCACCAAAAGAACATGAAACTCTATCACAGTTGTCCTAGTGTACGTTGATGATTTGATCCTATCTGGGGATAACCCAAACCTAATACAAGAAGCCAAGGATTTCCTATCACAACAATTCAAGGTAAGAGACCTTGGTAACCTGAAATACTTCCTCGGCTTAGAAGTTGCCAGAAGCAGCGCAGGCATCTCAGTCACTCAAAGAAAATATTGTCTAGATCTACTCATGGACACGGGTTTCCTGAACGGCAAGCCAACCAAAACTCCTTCAGACATGAAAACGAGGCTAACACAGTTCAATGACGAAGAGAAGGAAGACCCATATCTGTACAAGTCACTGATTGGGAGATTAGGTTACTTAACCACCACAAGACCCGACATTTCATTCGCAGTTCAACAACTCTGCCAGTTCCAATCAGAACCTAAGACCTCGCACCTAAAGGCGACACACAGAATTCTCAGGTATGTAAAGAACTCACCAGGGCAAGGCCTGTTCTTCTCATCAAACAACGACTTCACTTTGACGGGGTACTGCGACTCAGATTGGGGGGCTTGCCCCGATACGAGAAAGTCGATCACAGGGTACTGCACCTTCATTGGGAACTCCCTCATCACTTGGAAAGCGAAGAAACAGGCAGTGGTCTCCAAATCGTCGTCGGAAGCCGAATACAGAGCACTGTCCCAGCTGTCATGTGAAGTTCAGTGGATGGCCCAACTACTAAAATACCTAAGTGTTGAATTCAAAGGACCAGCTACTGTCTTCTGCGACAACAAGTCCGCCATACACATGGCGGAGAACCCGGTCTTCCACGAAAGGATGAAGCACATCGAAATCGACTGCCACATTATCAGGGAGAGGATAAAATCAGGATTAATAAATGTCAAGTATGTATGCACAGATAGAAACCTTGCTGGCATTTTCACCAAAGGGCTTAGCGCTCACCGTTTCAAATGGATTCTTTTCAAGCTGGGAGTATACGACATATACTCGCCAACTTGTGGGGGGCTGTTGAACTCTGTGATCGAAGTGAAAGAGGGAAACCAGGAAAGGGTAAAGTTCCAGCAACGGTCGATTGCAAAGGAAGAAGAAGAAGAAGATGCTCAGCCCGCTCCCTACAATCCGCTGCGTTCCAAGTGAAACGCACAGTTTCACACAGCTGTAAATAATACGTTAGATAGCTGTATAGATGGACACGTGTAATTACCTTAGAGGACGAGGCAGTTAGAGAGTCTTGTCCTGTAGTCTTTTTCATAGCTTGTATATATTCAGCAGCAGAGCTGCAAGTGAAATGCAGAAAGAATTTCACCAAAATCATTTGTCGTTTACCAAACTTTCTCAACGCTTGCCATAAAAGTACGATGAGTGATGCCGTATGATCGCTCCTCGACTCCAAATACAGTCGTCTTCTTCCTCCGAACTCTCCAATTGACAACCGAAAGCTCTCTTCCAAACTCGTCGGAAACCGCCTCTCCACCATAAATCGTTGGAAATCACCTCCCCATCAGGTCGAGTTCGAATCAGCAGTCTTCTCCAACTCTTGTTCTCCCAATTGCCCAAAAAATTGTCCATCGCCCTTTGCTTAGCATACCATGTCATTTTGTAACGAATATTTATTTGGTACCTATCTTTGCACTTGGCATGCAGAGGTTTGACACGTATATCTGGGCTTGAATCAAATGCTTTCGGTGTAAAAAATAACATCTACGTCAAGTTGGCGATGATCCTTCAGTTGAGTCGTGTTGCTACGAGAATGTGTCAAATCCGCCTTTTTATAATCTCCGTCAGAATCTTTTGAGACGACCTGAACCATCCATGTCAGTTGCTCTCCTTGTAGTTGTAGCATTTCACTTTCTAAAGTTTTACAGTTGACTCTACCACTCTAAATTGAAAGTTACATCCCATCACATAAAGCTTCATGGCCCTTTGCACAACTTTTTTTGAACAAAAAAATCTTGCCAATGCAGAACCCCTGACGACTTCCTAGTTCATCATTCATATGTCCATAAGAGTAGATTCTCATGTCGTTGTCATAGTATTCTGGGAGCACAAAATTATGTGATGCAGGAACATAAATTTGATGGAGCAGCAGCTCTTTCGATCACAATTTAGTGCTCATCTTTATCGACATCATCGTCATCAGCCTCGTCGTCATTGTCCACATCCATATGATCATTTGTATCACTAGGAGCACATACTCAATGTCTCGTCCTCCTCTTCTAGATGACTAGTGAACTCGACACATATCTCAGCAAACTCATCGCGAATTGGATTTTGTGCCATAAAATCTGTTATCATATCACCATAGTGATAAATTTACCATTTACTTGCAATTATGGCAGCCTAAACATAAGGCAGTTAATGTCTCTTTTACTCCTTGTAGATTAGAGTTGATCACCTCACATAGTTGCTCGTATGTCAAACGACCATGAATTTGTAGTAAGAAATTGATACCGCCATTGAACCTCAATCCCAACTTTCTCTCTTCTTTTTGAATTCCCCACAAAACAAGTTTAAAGGTTTACACACAATACATAAAAAAATTACAGAACAATTACATTAATTATGTAATTCACACATACAATTTCAATATACTAATAAAATATTCACTCAAGTAGAAACAAATGTTCATATACATATACCTTGCATTAGCCATAATCTCTTATCACGGTCGTGTATGATATTTGTATGAGATGAAAGTTAAGAATGGTGGAAGTTGATGTGAGAGTTCATTAGCAAATCAACGTCTTATTTATAAGCACACTAAAATGATTGTTTTTCTCGAATTTGCCTGTTAAACCATTTTCTGATTGGTTGCCCATTAGAAATTTCCCATTGAATGATTGTGAACATTGAAAATGTACCTTGGAACACAAATTGGGCTTATTCCCTCCCAAGTTGGTATTTTCAGCTCTAGAACACCTAAATGAGGTGTGCGTCCCAAAATTCAAGTAATCAGCATACAATATACATTGTGAAGCGACTTATAGTTATGGTTGGCGATAAACGAACCAATCTTATTCAGGAAAGTGAGGAAACCAAGTACTTCCCTTCTAGTTAAGGACCTTAAGGTTCTCCAGTAGCCATTAAAAAATGTAAGTCAGAAGCTCGGAAGTCATCTGGACGAGATAGTATAACCTTAAATCAGTCTATCGTCAATTGTCGCTATGCAGATTCATTTCGAAAACGCTATATATTGGGGGATTATCTAATGGTCTAGCAACTATGTACAAGGGGTTTTGCTTTCAGATTTCTTGTTTTCTGGGGGACGTTGTCCAAATGAATCATGGGGGAGAGCTCGTTTATCCAAACCAGCATTCCTTGCAACTCCGACGAACCAATGCTCGACAGCACTGTTATCAGCACGAGAATGCTTGCCGCGATGATGTCAGCTTTAGTATGAGAGCCACCAGACTCCTGCTCTTATTTTCTGTGTTCTTCTGTCCGTCAAATCCACATCCTTAGGATGAGGAATATCACTCGAGGGGAATCTCGGATCAAAATTGGAAATGTCATTTCAGTGGAACATGGTGACACCATCGTTTACCCACTGAACAAATCGTTGTGAATACCCGACCAACTCATTGCACCCGAGCTCACTACTACCAGCGCGATAACTTCCCTGCACAACGAGCAAACAGGAAAACGATTCAGTGGTCAAGCAAATGCCAAGAGGATGCACTCTCGCTGCGGTTGAGACTTGTTTGTGAAACAAGATACTGACCTGCAAGCTAGGGCCAGAGTCACTTGCAGCTGAAGAGATCTCTGTTCTGGCTTCATTCACGAGATTCTCAGAGGACAGACCGGCAATGGATCTACCACCAAATATTGGAGAAAGGTTACTCTGGATGCAACCACAAATTTAACATGGAAGAGCACAAGGAAAGGAAGAACAAAAGCGGCACTACCTGTCACTTGGATCTTCCTCGCAGGAATTTCCTGATGAAGAGAGCCACTCCAGATCGAGAAAATTTGAGCAGCTACACGTATCTCCATGTTCATCGTAACAAATGGGATTACTTTCGTATTGGTCTTCTCCTATATCTTCAAAGAGCTGCTTGGGAGTCATCGATGGATTGAACCTGAAAAAGGAAAAACCTCTTAAGTCCACCACGGAATTCGATGAACTGAACCATAGTACGAGAGCCAAAAGAACATCAGAAAATTAAAGGGCGGACCTGGAGAAAGACATGTCACTATCACCAGTCGAGATCTCGGGGGTAGAGTCTGAGAAACCCTTCTCAACGCCTCGTTGTTTATCAGCCAAGAGCAAATTTTGTCCAACTCTGGTATTCGTTTCAAGCGAGTCACTTTCACTTTCAAAGACTAGATTTCCATCAGACATTGATCTTTTAAATAATGACCTGCAAATTGATTGGTAGATGTTCAAACATAAGCATTATGTTTCTGCACCAGATTCCATGCATGTTTCAAGTTGAAAAGAAAGAGCAATTCCAACCTGGGATTCTCAATAAGCAAATCAGGATTACGGCCTCCAATATTGTAATGGTGATCAGAGTCCAATTCCCACAGTGCCGGCTTTCCTTCCTGTGGCTGAAAGTAGCCCAGGAATCTGCTCAACATCAAAAGAATAGTAAAGCGAAAGGCAACCATTATATATCTCCTCAAAACTTATGGAATGCAAATAAATAAGAGAGAGGAATATTTTACATACACGTTAATGGCATCTTGTTTCTGAGCATCGACGTATGCATTACTGTAGTATCTCTGCAGAGTTCTGAAGAACTCTTGGGACTGAGTTGCAGCTTTCCACTGCCCTCTTCTCTCAGAAAATATCTGCATAACATTAACATTAGCAACTGTAAACTGGCTGAAAATTCACGAGTAGAGTATGAAAGCTCCAAAATATGAAACTACAGACTACCTTATTATGTGCAGCGGACCCGCCATACTGCCGTGCAAGCGTGTCACCCATCAATTCATACAGGCGCATCAAATTCTCTGCTAATGGGTTATCCAGATCGATACTAGGGAATTCTAAAAACCCTAGTGCATCCAGCTGCTTTCCGAGAGCCGCCAAACCATAAGCATACTGAGCAACATTGGTGCGATCCAAACAGTCTATGCAGTTGGTCCTCAAGACACCCTTTTGAAGAGTAGGTCCTTTGATCTTGTTTTCTTTACTATCATCGTTATTTAAGTCACTGATTACAGGGCCAGACTCGCTCGAATTGTCACATTCAATTGTAGGGCTTTCCTTCGAGCAGAAATTATTTAGTAATCCCTCATGCCCCGGACTAGATGAGACTTCACAATAGAAGATGCCGGTCAAGTTCAAAGCATATGAAGCAACTCTTCCAAGAAGTGACAATACGTTGGTACCTCTGCAGCAGACAGAAGAATCCAGTATAGGTTGATCATATACTCGAAAGAAATGTGAGCATAATGAAAACAGACAAAAAGGGTGGGTCACAAGTACCTTCTAGAGTGTTTGTTCAGATCCCAGTGAAGGAACCTCAAGCGATTCTCCTTAGGTAAACTCATGTTGATAAACCTGATGGCACTTGCAAACTCTGCTCGGAGTATGCTCTCTCGGGGTTTTGTTTCATGAGTCTGAAAAACAAATATATTTTTAGGAAAATATAATCAATACAATTGAAAGGAAAAACTGTAAAGCTTACTTCAGTAAACTGCAGGAACCGACCTTTATTAGATTCAAAATGATTATTGGATTCCCATATCTCTTTGCAAGATTTTCAAAATGGAGCCTAGTTGCCTCGTAGGCTTTATCCTTCTTCGATACTGTGGATGAAAATCAGAATCAATACTTAATAAATTCATGCACCAAGACCAAGGTAAGATATTCAATCTGGTATCGAATTAAGTGTGCGGTGTTTCGAATTCATACATATAATATCTGGTTTGATATTCAATCTTGAAGTTTCCTGAGACCAGAAAAGTGGAATTGAACCCCGGTTCTGGACGACAGAACTTATTTGGACTGAATGCCCTTCAGGAGAATCTTCAAATACAATTTGTTCAGTCTCGACATCATTAGCAACCCTTCCTTTCTCATTTACCCCACGCTTCAAGTATCTGCAACAGAAAGAGAGAGAGAGAAAGCAATCTCATAACGAAGTTAGCTTATGATCAGAATTATATCTAGCCATAAAACTGCATCTACTACTTGCAGGGAGTTGGTAATCTGAAGTTAGTTGTCCTGCCAGGTTTCGGCTGAAGTTTGGAAGGAAAAGAAACAAATGATACCTTGTTCCAGCATAATGCCTCGACCGTCTGGAAATGAGAGTCAGCTTAAAGTCCCTTCCAGAAACTGATAATTTGACCTGAATGACAACCAGGAATGAAATGGTTCATATTAGTCTATTAGATAAATGCGGCGTGAACGTGATATTGGAACAAGTTTTAGCAGGATAAAGATTAAAGTTGCAGCAAATCTACCCAAAATGGTTCAAGAACCTTTTACATGGAACATTTATGTCTAACATTAAATATATGACATACTAGCTTCATATATAGAAAGCATATCGCCACCATTCTTATCTGAATCGGAAGCGAGATCCTACCCAAGGAAAACTGTAAGAAGGATCTCAGGCCCCCACATTAGATGCATATAGTTCCAGAAAACAGTACAAACCTGCTTAAAGAACCCGTGTACTAGTGCCACCGTCCAGGCAGAGTTCTTGAGGTTGTTCCTGATTCCTCGAGTTAAGAATTCATTCCAGACAAACATGGTCTCATAATGGAGCTTTCCTGTCTCACTATTACATAAATTCTTTTGAAGACTATGCATAACATTGTATGAATAGCTGAAAAAGAAGTCCCTTGTAAGATCCACCATGCAAAGAAGCTTCTTGTATCTATTTCATCGTCAAGAGAAAAAAAGAAAACAAAGAACAAGGCAAGAGAAGTTAGTCAATTCATGAAACATTAAAAGTAGAGACAGAATACTAAGCTGCAACTAGGTGAAATTTGCTAAACCAGAAATTAACTGAAACAAAGAAATTGACTCTTTCCCCCACAAACTCTTGACAATACCTCGCTTCATTCAATACGTTATATTAACATCACAACAGCAATGATTTTTCCCCTGTACATAACAAGACCAACAGGCAAAAGGTACCAATACAACACGGGAAACTAACAAGAATATGGTAGCAACTTCTAATACTGCATAAATAAAAAGGGCACATAAAGAAGCGGAAGAAGAACAAAGAACGAAGAAATAGATAACGCTAGTAGAAGAACTATAAATAAGCTTTGAATAATGGATCCCCGCGCCATTAATTAACACCAAAAGGTATAGCGCCGACAAATATAGAACAGAGATCACCTCTGCAACGTTGAATATGCCTACTCTAAATTGATATTGACAAGAAACCCATATTATTGGTCCCAAACAATTCACTGGATGAAAAAGAAAACAATCATGACTGTCAGAAAGTCCTCGACTAGTTACAAAGAAACAGTGAGTATTTTTGAGAACCAATCTGACAAGTCTCCTTAAGAGTACCAAGTACTTGTTCCATTTACATGCAGAATGGACAAAAGACCTGTTCTCATTCTTAGAATTAGTCATATTTGACTGCACAGGAACTGGGATCATCTCGCTCCTGGTGATTGCATATATTGAATGGCCACAAATAGCACCAATCTTCCTTCTTTCGGTTATCAGCAGCATGTAATAAGGCCCCAAAAATTTAATGAATCCTAATTTCAGAAGAGAAAGAAAGAGATGTCATGAGTGAAACAGTAAAATAGAATCAAGCAAGTCAATAAGTGACATTTGGCTATTAGAAGCATAGTAGCATACCGACTATTCCATAGCAAACAGTTACAAACTTCAGTCCACCAATCCCTTTATTCCCTTCATGTATTCTCCGCAGCAAGTCACAGCATTCACTTTCGCTATATGAAGTCGAATCTTCTAGGATATTTAATTCAGATTGGTCTGATCGATCAATCTTTAACACCTTCCAAACGGTTCTGCTTTTGTCTCTTCCGATCATATAAAAGTGCTGTACACAATGAAAATACAAACAACCCGTTAGATACTGCAAAGATTAGATAGTAAAGAGGTGAAAGCAAAAACTGCATTACATACCAAGGCGAACCTACCAAGTTCAACCCATAGACGAATTCAAGCTTGATCGACACATAAATGGTAATGCATAAGAAGGAACGAGTTCATAAGGAATTATTTAAATTATACGCGTTAGGTATCAACCTAAAAAACTCCTAGCACAATCGTAACACTTTTCAATCACGTATTTGGTAAAGTATCAGCCAAGATAAGGATGATGTCCTCACCAAGGATATCTGAAGATTGCTACTTAAAAACACTACCAAATGTGATGATTTTTCATATCTCTAATGATACATTACAACTCGAGATAAGATAAGAATCAATCACCACATAGCAAATGCCTCTCCCAAAAGGAAACATAGCATAGAATCAGACAATCCTGCAAATCTTCATTGATAATGATGCGTGCAATTGATGAGGAAGCTGTTTATGTTTAGAACAATGGAATACTGTGAATTCACATGACTAGGAATGATGTCAAAAAGAGAAGGAACATCACAAACTTTAAGCCAATTCATCTGTGAAGTTAAACAAGCCTTAGGATTGAGGAATCAAATTCAATAAGGAAATGAAAGACTGCATACCGATCGAGTCTCATAGAGTCTGAATTTCTGCAAATAGGCAGAATTTGAAGCTGGAGGAATCGAAGGGCAAGTCTCCATCTCCATTCAAATTAGATCGCCTTCAAACTCCCAGGAGCTCGAAGGAAGTGCAGGGAGGGGGGCAGGGTCAACTCCTTCTCCAGCTGCTGTTTGCTGCATCAAAGAACAAAACTTTTTTGGTCAATCTGCAAAAAATAAACTAGCTACTTGCCAGCCAAAGCACATGTTGCTGCCTGTTCTTCCTCAAGTCAAAGAATTAGATGAATTAGCATAGAAAACCCAAATTTGCATAAAAAGGGTAAGCAAAGCTGCAAACTTTCTGAGACAGAATCTATCTTTCCCCCAATAAAAGAGGACCCAATCAATAAATTTAAGCTTATTTGAGCTCAAAGCTGTGATCTTGCAGGGAGGGGACAGAGAGTTTGAGAAGGAGCAAACCAGAGAGAAGTTGGGAAGATGGTCAGAAACGCCGCCGTTTCTCAGGGACAGAAAGCCAAAATTTGAACCAGATCGAGGACCAGGGAGAAGAAGAAGAAGTAGACACAGAGAGGAAGGAGGAGAAAGGAGAAGAAGAGATTGGGGGAAAAAGGCTGACAAGCTGTAGATTGCCACACAATGCACGGACTGACAGAGAGGAACCAATTTTCTCCCTTTTTTCCTTTTTTCTTTTTGTATAATAATTTTGTGGAGGAAATAATTTATACTGATTTCAACTTGGCTATATATATTTTTTTTTTCTTGTGTATGTGAATGAATAATCAAAATTAATGATTGGGGAGGCCCAATTTTGGGGATTTTTTTGTCTTTCCAAAATTGCTAAAAAAGACTGTTATGTGGGAAAACATGATTTTTTTACTGTTTCAAACACAATGATGATGTGTGGGTTGGGTAGGGTAAAACTCTCCTCTCCAAATTATTGTTATTGTTTACTATTTAGCTGCCCATCCATCACCATCATCAAGACATTGCCTATATAAACATGGTTTTATTATTGTTATTAGTATGCAGAATTTGGTCAATTATAGCAATATTTTAAGCTCCTTCTTTCTTGTTTCTCCCTCCTTTCCCAGTCTCTTTCTTGGGCTCGATCAAACGGGTGAATTGTATTGTTATATAGTCATGATTGATGGTAATAAAAATTAGGGCATTGATAGAGTAAAACCTATGTTAATGGGTTTGAAGAGTTTAGGTTAATGGGAATCCAAGTTTTGAATGAGTTCTTAGTTCTTGTTGGTATTATCAAGGATTGACATTTATTTGATGGAGACTTTTAGACCACCATAAAGGCTTATTTAAATGATTGCTAGTTTCCAAATTTGAATTCGAGATGATGGATGTTATTAGTCGCGCGTTGATATAAACACAAGTCTTTTGAAGTTTACGATAAACATTTGATTAGGAACGACATATATGATTTTTTTTTTGCTCTAGTGATAAATTGTTGAATAAGTATCGAAACTCGAAACTCTAATATATCGTTGAGGGTCTAGAAAAATATCACTTTTGATCATAGATCTTTGTCAAAATTGCAGTTGGTAACAATTCTAGAAAATTGGTGGGAAGGAAGTCATAATACTTTTTTAATTAATCTCTCTTAATTAGTCACCTTTAAATGGTTGGTACATAATGTCTTATTATGATTTTTTATCTATAATAGAGTTACATCACAAATATGGAAGCATAATGTTGTATGATTAGTGGAAGATCGAGAGAGAGAGAGAGAGGAATATGCTAAATCATATATGCCATTTTTCCCGTGCAAAACTTGGCTTATTCCTCATCTTCTTTGTGGACATGGTACAGATCCTTTTACACTTTTTGTTTTAAATAAAAAAGAATTTACATTTTAGTCCATGTACTATATTATCTTAACAAAGGCATCCTTATACTACACTAGGGCTCTACAAATAATCCCATTTGCGTATTAAGCTGTTCATCAATTTATAATTCATGTGTCAAATAATTTAACCAAATTTATTAGTAATGAGATCAAATCATACTTGACCAACATGTCTTCCAATTCTAATAGATCACACGGTATATATGCATGGTGCAAATCTCATCAAAACTCAATGCAAACTTATTTATCCATTAATCTCCGCTTTAACAAGTTTCAAATCATAGACATATTAGATATGTGGTGTACGATTCAAGAACCGGAAGTGAGGATGGATGGACTCCTTGAACTTCGAACATTTATGACGTGTGATAGTGAGTCATTTGAGACATGCTTATTAAACATTGATAAATCATAACGTTTTTATTTAAACCAACGATCTAAAATTGGATTAGTATGAGATTATATCGACGTAGTTATTTTTATAATTAACTTAGGATAAAAAAAATCATTATTATTATTATTAGCCCAACAAAGAACTATACAATTAAATGAGATAAAATAATGAGCAATAGGTTGTGGAGGCTCAAATACAACCACTAGAAACTAGGGCTGGCTATTTGGTCCGGGTTTTTTGGTTTTATCCGAAATCGAATCGTATAACCCGGATTGAGATCGGACCGGACCGGATAGTAAACAATCCAATCCAATCATTGGGCTTATATTTGAGGTAAAAAACCATTCGGGGCCGGATCGAAAACTGGATAAAGACCGGATAAGAGAGCTCAACACCTAAAATTTGAGGGTAATTTGCATAAACGGTCACAAACCTTTGCACTTAGTACAAAACTTAACCAGCTCCTCACCCTTTCAGGCCTTAGGCCACTCAAATCCCCACAAACTCAATAAATAACAAGACCGGACCGGGTCAAGACCGGACTGTATCCAATACAATCTTTGGTCCTTATATTTTCAAAAAAACCGGACTGGACCGGATCAATTTGAGCCTATTTAACCGGATCGGACCATGTACCCACCCCTACTAAAAACTGTTATACTGCATGGACTACAAGTATTTTTGTTTTTGTTGTTATTTAATAATTAATGTGACCCATTTTTTGTGGATCCTTAATCCACCTCAGTAATTTTCTCATTTGCATTATTTTCTTCCTTTATTTTATATTTCCCTGTATTATTATTATTTTCCGTTTTATAGCTATTATATTATTAATAGGATAAAATTAAAGGAGAACAATGCCACATGATCTATAACACTTGTGATTCCTAGCCTTGGAAGGCTTTCTCTCGGAGACAACGGAAGATGTTATTGTCAGTTTGTCACTGCAGGCAAGAGTTTAATATAATGAAATCTAATAATTTGGAGATTATTTAAATCACTAAAGATTTGGGGTTCAAACTCATGCTATGTTATTAATTTGGTAAGGTGATTATTTTTTTAATTACACTATTATAATTCAAAAAAAAAATACATCTTACCATGAATATTCAAAGGAATAAAATTTATTCCGGAAATGAATATTGATAGTCGGACTACATTATATCCGACTATCAATATTAACTATGAGTCATTTATGACAAGTGAACAATTATCTACGTCCATCCCAAACAATTGGAATTGACTAAAAATAAATCAAATCAAAATTTCTCAACCCAAATTGATCCATCCAAAATTCCTCATGATAAACGGATCAATTGAGTCCAATTATTTCAAAGAAAATTTTAAGACAATTTGACCAAATGAATCCATTACAATTTCTAGTTTCCATCATAAAACCCCATCCAAGGAACACAAAGAAAGGTAATGTAGGGTAGATTGAATGGGACAAAATGTGGGTGCGTGGATGGTGGGCGGGTAGGGTAGATGAGAATTAGGAGAGAGTTTGTCAAAGGCAAAATTTGCAATAATTTCACCAAGCTACAAATTAATATGTGAAATTAAACCCACATGCTTACGTAAGTACAGCACGATAACATTTGATTAGTAGGTTATTAATACCCTTGTTAACTATGTAAACCAGAAATTAACCAGGTGTGCCATGTCATACCCATATATGGTTGTTATTATTACAAGACTTGAGACTTTTATACATTTTGTATACGTTTCTTCCCTAGCCAGCCAGTAAAAGAAAACACGAAAAGATTATTCTGTGTGTGTTACGTCAAATGACATGATCTTGCTAGCTGGCTTGGCTTGGCTGCTAGAAGCCAGCCTTTGTAAATACATACAATATTACATAATTGTTTGCACGTCATTGCTTTTGGGGGAAGTTTCAAACGTTAACAAGTCGATCGTCTTCGTTTCTGGATCATCTTGAACTTATACAACTCTCTCCTTCGTTTATAGATAGGTAAGTTCCCATTTTTCCTTATTAAAATAACCATTGCGATCAAAGTCTAACTTCTATGTAAAAGTGAAATAAAGGATAAAAGTAGAAGTGTAAAAACGAACAGTAAAAGCGCAAAATTTTAATATTTTATAATCATAATTTTTATTTTTCAAAATATAAACTAATAAATGAATTAGCTCTTTTTTTTAATAAGTGCGAGATTTTATTGGAGAGCAAAACCAAGAAAACAAAAGGAAGTTCGGACAACAACAAGGATCACAAGGCTTGATCCTGAGAACAAAAGGAAAAAGCAAGAACGAAGGAAACAGAAACCTATTATCCAAGCACAAACATAAACCAAATTAATAGAATTTTAAACAAGCATTCATTGTATCCTCCTGCTTTTTAGAGGGGGGTATGAGGAGGAAACCATTGGCAAATGATGAAACTATAAGGGTTGTAGGCGAGCTTCACTAATAAGTGAAAGATGCGGCAAATGAGAGGTCTTAAGGAGACGAGTTTCGATGGGCACATAGTCACAACACTAGGGTGGGAGTTGCAAGGATGAGAAAGGGCGGCGGTATTGGGCCAGCCCGAGTCAGCAGCTCGTGATGGACCTGCCGCCAGCTGCATGGACAGGAATCCTTCTTCCTCACGTAGTGTAGAAAGAACCTTGTTCCATAATCAAACCCTAGCTACTGTATCTAGTTATATAAATCGGTGTGTACAGCCGGTTGGCTAATCAAGTAATCAATCAATAAGATCAGTAGCTGGAGAGGCTTCCCTCTCCCGTGGACTAGTCCCGACACTTCGGGGATACCACGTAAACATCGTGTCTCTTGTTTATTGCTTTTCGATATTTATCATGGTATCATAGCTCTCGTTCTAGGGCATTCTTGATTCAAGTTTCGCGTCGTTATCGCCATGAGCGATACTGAGGAGTTTAAGGAATCAGGCGACAAGAAGGCCGTCGGGTTCCCTGGAAGTTCGTCGGGTCTGTCACCAGCGATGGATCCCTCGTCAGTTCTCTATCTCCACCCGTCGGATAGTACGGGACAGCTTCACGTCGGGGAAGTCCTTACCCCCACGAACTATGGTGAATGGGTAGTCGATATGACTGACTCGCTCATCGTCAAGAACAAGTTTGGATTCGTTGACGGCTCGATCGTCAAGCCACAGGACGAGCCCGAAAACGGACCATGGAGTCGCTGCGATGCAGTCGTCAAATGATGGCTGCGAACTTCCATGAACAAGGAGGTAAGTAGTAGCGTCAGGTTTGCAAAAACCTCAAGGGAGATTTGGCTGGACATAAAGGAAAGGTTTGGTCAAGGGTCACTCACGAGGGGGTACGAACTGCGAAGGCTCGTCTCGGGTCTGTGGCAGGAAAAACTCACCGTATCCTCCTTCTACACTCAACTGCGGAGCTATTGGCAGGAGGCTCACTCCATTTACCTCCCGAGCGGTGCACGTGCGGCCAGTGTACCTGC